TTTTTTTTTATTAACTTGCATGCTTATGTATTTCATTATTATGAATGTATTTGTGATTGTTTGAAAAAAAATTTTAAGGAAAAAAATCACTCTGACTTACTGGCAGGTGTAGACTGAGTCTGAACTTTTTGTATGTTTTGTTTAGTTTTATCTATTTTTTTATTGTATTTTTATAATTTTAGAAGAAAATGTGTGAAATTCTGTTGATTTTTAACATGGTACAATTTGTTGAAGCTCATGACCTTAAAACATGGCTGAAAGTAGTGTATTTGTAAAACATGATTAAATTATCTAAATATGTAAAACAAAGACACAGGAGAACGTGTAGAACTTTGTGAATGAAGGACGCTCCAATTTTGCGGAAATATGAAGAGCTTTCTTTGGATTACTGCAGCCACAGATTCCATGTGGGCCTGTTTTCCGGGAACAGAGTTTAGGTAGTGCTTCCCCTCACTCAGAGTTATTGCATAACACTTAGACAACGACAATGATGAATTAACCGCAACTGTGATCAAACCTGAACCAAATGCTAGTTTGGAGGATTGAAGGTAAAGGGTATGAATGGTGTATTGTTTGCACTCCCTGACACAATAAGGAATGGACTGCTTTTTTCTTTTTCTTGGGCAGTTCATCTGTATGTATGTTTTCTTATCTTTTTTCCATTTTTTTTTCAATATGCATTTCATTCATTAATGGCAGTCAGTTTGCAAATGCGTGATTTATGTAATTGAAACATTATAAAAGTTTCTTAAGCAACAACCACCAACCAAAGTGTGTGAACACAGGCTTGGCACATGTCAGTGATGTTCTAACATGCAAACCTCTCTCCTTCAGCTGAAAGTAATTTGGGGGAAAAAGAACCAAGTTTCCTATCTGACCCATAATCGGCTGTGGGGTGAAATGGTTTATTTTGCATTTGTATTCTGCACCATGTTCACCACAGAAATTTAATGCAGAACATGTTTTCTCTTAGAGCTCAAATTACGCAAATCATTTGTTGACATGCGAACTCGTTCTTTTGCGTTTCTTCACTGTTCCCGTCTCGGGCAGTTTCATGCATTTAATCGACTACTGTTCAAGATTGTTCTGCTTGGGTGTTAAAAGTAATTTTCTGTGTTCAAAATTAAGTTAAATCGACAGCCTTTATTTCGCATTTGTTATTTTCTGGTAATCAAATTGTCATAAATGCTGTTGTTAGATTTGAATTCCTTTTAAAGGTGCATGTAGCTTATGATGTCCTTGTCTGGAAAGATGTACAGATTGCTTCAGACCTATTCACATAATTCTTCTGCTTATTTATCATACTGTCTTTTGTTGCCCTTGCAGAAACTTGTGGTGGACAATGTGGAAGTTCTGACCCAGATGAGGACCAGCTTTGACAAGCCGGACCATATGGCAGCACTCTTTAAGCGGCTCACATGTGCGTATCAGTTGTGGGACTTTTAATTATATACAATACTGAAATCAAAAGTTGGGGTCAGTAAGATTTGTAAAAAAAAAAAAAAAAAAAATTTAGACTTTTATTGAGCAAGGACACAAAAAAAATGATCAAAAGACAGTAAATTGACAGTAAAATACATTTATTATATTATAAAAGATAAATGCATCCAGGAACATTTTTTCCATAAGTTTCCATAAAAATGTTAAGCAGCACACCTGTTTTCAATATTGATGATCAGTCAGCATATTAGAATGATTTCTGAAGGATCATGTGACACTGAAGACTGGAGTAATGATGCTGAAAAATCAGCTTTGCCAACACAGAAATAAATTACATTTTAAAATATATTAAAATAGAAAACGGTTATTTTAAATTGTAATAATATTTAACGATATTACTAAATTTTTGAGCCAATAAATGCAGCATGGGTGAGCAAAAGAGACTTCTTTCAAAAACGACCCCAAACTTTTGAATGGTAGTATATATTTATATATTACTATTATATTAATATGCTTTTTTTTAAATAATCAATACTGGACAGATATTCTGATCACAGAGTATTATATACACTTTTAAATATAAATGTAATACTAAATGAAGTAGTATATCAAATAAATTCCTTTTTTTCTCTCTTTGATGGTCTCTGATCTAGTTCAGATTAATCTGCCCATGAACAGCATGTAAAAACAAAGCAAACTGTGTTTGGTCACTTTATATGTCTTCCTGTCAAAGTGGTTCACATATTGACATAGTTTTAGAGTCATACACAAAGCTATATTAATATTGTGAGACGAGGTGAGAAATGACAAATAAATCTCCAAAAATATAAAAAATGGCAATTTAAATGAAATATTTTGAACATTTTAACTATTGTAAATTTCCAGTCATGTCCATGTACCCCAGGTTGAGAAGCCCCGTATTAGACAGTAGCTGTTTGGAATGTCATGGTATGAGCTATAATAACACCCACCCGCCCCCCTCACTGCAGACAGGCCCTCTACACAGAGCTATTTGTTATGGCTTGTCCTCATACAGTCATATTACTGAGCTCAAATATGAGCAGGAATTTCAAAATCCCGTCTTGAGGAATGTGGCCTATATACACACCACCTACAGACCTATTTTTAGTGGTTCTAAAGAAAGAAATAGCCTATTTTTGGAAGTTATTAATATGACTTGTCTTCTATTTCTGTAGCGGTTGACAGCGTACTGAAACGGATGACCATCATCGGCGTGATTTTGTCGTTCCGCTCTCTGGCTCAGGAAGCTCTCAGAGATGTGAGTTTTTATTCAGATGTCTCATCTCGTTTCTCTCATGACTTGCTCTACACTCACATGGACATCATTTCAGATTTTTTCTTCCATGAAATGCATAAGATGTAATGTAGAATTTCCAAGCCGCTCTTTTTCATACAGTAAACATGGATGATCATTTGTACTGCTAAGCTCCAAAAAGGACAAAAAAAGCACCAAATAAGTTCTCTATATTACTTGTGAACTATATTCGTGCAATGTCTCGTGTAATGAACAGAGCTTCTGCGGCTCTCAAATCTCATTTGCATTTACATATATATTAAAATCAGTGTTGTTAACTAAAACGAACAATATTAAAAATAATTTTTGTTGAAAGTACATTCTTATAAATATAAATATTATAAATAAATATAAAAAACTAATAAAAATGGCTAAAGCACATAAAATTATTAAAACACTAACTAAAATTAAAACTGAAAATATAAAAATAAAACAATGCAAATTGTTAAATACTATATGATATGATATAAATAATGCTAAAATTAAACTTTTTCAAATGTGCCACCTGAAGACGCTTCAGTTTGGTCGTCACGTGTCACATGACAAGTTTGAATATGCATAAGTGTGAAAGAGAGCTAAAGTAAGTGAAGATTCTCAGTTGAATGATAATTGAAATTTGCTCACACGATCATTATTCATATAAATATATGATTTTAGAAGACTTTGAATGTAGTGCACAACTGGTTCTCAATTCCAGTCCTGGGGACCCACTGCTCTGCACATTTTGTATGTCTCGTTTATCTGACACATTCAGGCCCCGTCCACACGGAGACGTGTTTAGCTGTATACGCATAAATGTTGTATCATATAGGCGTTTCGTCCAGACATGAACAAACACTGAATGATTGTCTTTTTATTAACTAACATTAGCACAGATTAATAAAATGTATTGTTCCATGTTCGTTTGTATACCGCGCGCAAGGTTTATGCGCATAGTCCAAGTCTTCTTCTCCGTTTTTAGTGTATCTCTGTGGCAGAATTACAACACCACATACTGGTCTGGCATGTATGCTACATCGTTTCGTGTGGACGCAGATATTTCTTGAGACGAGGGGGAAAAAAAGATCGGATAGGGAAAGCTCTGGCTTCGTGTGGACGTAGCCTCAGTTCAGTTCATGGAATCTCTCCTAACGAGCTGATGATCTGAATCAGGTGTGTTAAATAAGAGAGACATGCAAAATGTGCAGAGCAGGGGGTCCCCAGGACTGGAATTGAGAACCAGTGAATTATAAACTGTATTTATGTTGGGGTTTTTTGTGCTTTTTCGAAGCTTGGTCCTGTAAATCACTGTCCATTTTATTTTAAGGAAAAGGGCGGCTCAGACATCCTTATGATTTTTGTGTTTGAAGGAAGAAATAAAATAATACAGCACTGGAATAAAGTGAGGTTGGGTAAATGACAAAAAAAAAAATTTAATTTTTACTTAATTTTTGGTTAACTATTCCTTTGTTCGAATATGTTATAGGCCAAATGAGCTCTAATCACAGATGTGTCCTTTTCTCCAGGTGCTGTCCTGCCACATTCCCTTCCTGGTGAGCTCTGTGGAAGACTTCAAAGACCACATTCCTCGTGAAACTGACATGAAGGTAGGTGACGTTCAGACTTGCCGTTAGCACTAACGATGGGCCGCCGGATCTGAAATTCTCCCTTTTCTCAGGTCGCCATGAACGTGTACGAGCTGTCTTCTGCTGCAGGCCTGCCCTGTGAGATCGACCCTGCTCTGGTAGTGGCTTTGTCTTCCCAGAAGTCTGGTAGGTTATTTCAGACCATTCAAAATGTTATTGCACATCAGGCCATTTCTAACCCTGATGTAAATTTTTGGCATCAAAATATAAACTGGCTCAGTTTTTTCCCTGTCAGAGGAAAATAATATGCCGTAACTGGAAGTGCTTTGGTTTTGGCCTCTTAAGAAAGTGCAGATTGTGCCGATATGCATCAGGTGTTTTTACTCTAGATTTGTTAGAATGCCGAGCGTCCACTTTTGGAATTCACCTTTTATCAGCATTTGCTACAAAATAGGTAGTTAACAAAGTTTGACGTCGGTGTGCACGTAGTTGAAAGAAAAGCTGAACAGGAATTATTTTTTCCAGAGTGCACTTTGGTGCTCAGATCTAAAGACCATTTCATGCCAAATGATTTACCAGAAATCCCTGTATTAAGACCTCGGAAGGTCTTACAGCAAGCTAGCTGGCTGTAAAAAAGGTTTGGTTTGTGTTGAAACGTTAAGTGGTATCACATGGTTTATATCAGGTCTAATCTGGTCAAGTACTGCAGCGTTAGGATGCTCACTTGCCCTGTAATTATGGTGTATGCTCACACTATAATACACACTCAGAAACATGCATTACATCCACACCCATGTCCCCTTTAGTCACAGTATCATTTTACCATGTCTTATTTCGTATTATTTTAGTGGTGAATGATTTCACAAGAAAGTTTCAAACCTCACATGTCCAGGCCTATCTTAACCACAACCTCCAGAGTTAAAAATAATACAAATATCTGTGCAGAGCAGATCTGCACTTTAGTGTCTCATGAGTGTCGTTTCGGTGGTGTGGAGTAGCTAACTAAAAGCGACACTGCTAACTTTTTTTGTAGTGTAATAGGTACTTGGTTATCTTCGAAATAGCATTGCTTTGCCAGTAACTACAACTTTTTGTAACAGTGTAATGTGACAATATAATGCTACTTGATATATAAATGCTGCAAACATTTTTTATTTATTATTTGGTCTCTGTATTCCAATGCAGCTTTACAGACATGCAAACTGAGGCATTAATCAAATGCACTTAATTTTAATGAATCTGTTCATTCAGACAGGTTGTTCCAGCTAACTGGTTGAAAAAAGAGTCACTGATTCATTGAAGTCTATGCAAGGCATTTTCCATCATCGTTTAATGGAAATATTTAGTTAAATGCTGCTGTTTATCTCAATATTTTTAACATTATACTCATTTATATAAAGTATGTTTTATTTTGTTATGTAATTTATAAGTATGGAGTTTTGTTCCTAATACATTAACTATTGTTATTTTTTTAAACATAATGTTATAAATGTATTCGTTTACACTAGTGTGGAGTCAGAATTTTTATTTTGAAAGAAAGAAAGAATTGATACTTTTATTCAGCAAGGATGCATTAAATTGCTCAAAAAAACTTTATAATGTTATTAAAAGATTTCTATTTCAAATAAATGCTGTCCTTTTGAATGATCTATTCATCAAATAATCCTGTACATTTCCACAGAAATTAGGCAACTGTTTTCAACATGCTAAAAATTCAGCAACACCATTACAAGAATAAATTTTAAAATATATTAAAATAGAAAACTGAATTTTTAAATTGCAGTAATATTTCACAATATTTGTACTGTATTTTTTTTATCAAATAACATCAGTTATTTGTAGTAAGTATTTGTTTCAAAAACATTTTTAAAAACTTGTAAAATTGTATGTAAACTTGCACTATATCACACTATTCTTAAAATTTTTTGACTTTACTGTAAAGAGTAACCGCTACTTGAAATAATTCGAGGAATCAGCTTCCTGAGAAGAGCCTTGTGCACCTAAACATATCTCATTCCACATAGCAGTTCTCCAGAACTGAGCAAAGCTCTCCGGTGAACAGCTTTCATTTTCTTAGAGCAGCCCAGACCCTCCAGGGCCTCTTGGCCAGCACCGATGTTTTTGTTCTATTCCCCCGACGGTTAAATCCAAACGTCTTCTGTTTACTATCTAAATAGCGAGTCAACTCAAACTAGACTTAATTGAATCACTCCCAAATGCTGTTGCGCTAATAACATAAACAAGAGTTAATTTTTGGACATTAGTGCCGTTTTTCTTGGCTCTTTGCACAGATTTTCGGACACTGTCCAGAGAGAGAAATGCAATCGCTGCAATTTCCATGCCATCTCACAATGGCAGCACATCAGTATTTTTCGGAGTTACCTAAAGGAACATTCATGAACTCAATTCTCTGTTTGTAACAGAAAATATTAGCCCAGAGGAGGAGTACAAGATCGCCTGCCTGTTGATGGTCTTCGTGGCCGTTTCCATGCCGACCCTGGCCAGCAATGTGATGTCACAGTACAGTCCCGCAATAGAAGGTACCAATTTTTACATTTCAGTCTCGCGCTGAACCGCTGCGAATGAAATCAGATTACATCTGTGCTGTTTGAACTGCGGTCCGCTGGAACGATGTGTTTTAATGTGCATGGCATTTATCATGTGTGTGTTAACTTTCTATAAATCTTTTAAGGTCACTGCAACAACATTCACTGTCTGGCTAAAGCGATAAACCAGATTGCCGCTTCTCTGTTCACTATCCACAAGGGCAGCATAGAGGATCGCCTCAAAGAGTTCCTCGCGGTAAGTAACACTATTAGTAGTAGTTGTTGTAATTCCAGGCTTAAAGCTTTTTTAATTTCCAATACTTTTACTACACAACATGCGATTTACGTTAACATGTCAACAATAAACACTCAATTTGTGCAACTCTCTCTGTGGGACTTTGCAGCTTAATAAAACCCTGTAATTCTCTCCCACAGCTCGCCTCCTCCAGCCTGCTGAAGATTGGACAGGAGACGGATAAAAGCACTACACGGAACAGGGAGTCTGTTTACCTGCTCCTGGACATGGTGAGTGAATCCACACCTCCATTGCAAGACAAAAGACAGAGCGTTTCATAATGGTGTGCAATAGGGTTTTGATGGTGAGGAAATTTTCCTACCGGTTAATCGACGTGTGACAACACCGATAATACCAGTATCAGCGTGGGGGCAGGGGCGTTCCCTCTTTTCCTCGCTTTCCTTCACTTTTAAATATCTTGCAAAAGCGGAGTGCGCATTTTACTTTCACTTTCAAATAGCGGCAATTCGGCGTAAAGCAATTGTTCGTTTGAATTTTCCCTCTTTACCTCGCTTTCCTTCGCTTTTAAATAGATTAAAAGCACCATACGCATTTTACTTTCACTTAATTACTTTCATCGAATTAGCAGCAATTTGGCGTCAATTGTTTTAATGCAACAACAAAATACAATGCCAAACTCACTTTAGCCTATATACAAAACAGAACTTTTATTAACAAAACGAATAAAAATAAACCATGCTATAGGGCAGGCTATGCCTAATATAAAATAACAAATAATTTGCATAGTTTAAATTGGTAGCCTATACAAAACTGGAAATAAGTAAACATGTATAATATATAACCAAATAAATAAGAAACGTAGAAAGTTTATTAGCAAAACGAATAAGAATGCTTGGAGGCACGGCATACACCTTGATGTCAAATAAAATAAATAAATTATAAAAAGTTTAAATAAAGTAAAAATCAGCAAACACTGTGGAATCAATTAAATAAGAAACGAATGTTTAAAAAAAACTTCCAAAATCACCTTAGATAAACAGCAAAAGTCAATAGGCTTTTCAAAATCCCAAATACTGCCAAATAGGCGCTTTTGCATTTCGTTTCTAAACTAAATCATCCGCGATCGTCTTGTCTGCCTCGCCTCACTCTTCTTGTCAGTCAGCTCGACTCATGCACTCTCCTCACTGGAGAAATGAAATCTGATCTGTGATGC